GGGTAGCTTTCAAATTGTTCCACCTCACTGCCCCCTGGGTTTGCCTTGGATGAGCTGGAAGTCTAGAGTTGCAACTTGCTTAAGTGTCTTCTCTCTCTCTCTCTCTCTCTCTCTCTCTCTCTCTCTCTGTCTCTCTCTCAATCAATCAATAAAATTTTAGTTTAATTTATATATATATAATTTTAGTTTAATTCCTGGATTGATGTCTGCAATTTGTTTATGGCAGGTAGCTTTATTGCTAGTATTGAGAACCCTTAGGAAATGACTACTTCTCAGAGATGTCTGCCAAGTGTAGCTGGCTTTTGGCTTTTGAGTCTGTTGCAAGATTCTACCTCTTCAATTTATTGGGGATGAGAAGTTGCTGCCTATTTGGCCTAGCCCCTGGTTCTTTGACACTGGCATGGTGTTATTTATGACCCTTAGGCAATCTCTGTTTGGTATACCAGGAAGAACAACTGATTAGAACAATTATGTCACCTTGGCTAAAGTAGCACAATCAGCAATAACAATAGCATCAGACACAGCCTTGAGAATGACAAACTTTGGTACCTATTAATTTGGCACTTTTAATCATATGAACTATATTATATATATATTGTGTATATGAACAAAATCTAAAACAAACCAGAAAATATGGCAATTTTGCCCTCAGGGGATAAAATTTAAAAGGGCTTAGTGGGAAAAATAGAAGAAAAGGAAGAGATTAGAAGCAAAGCTGGAGGACAAAGAAAGATTATGTGAACTTTGAGAAACCAAGAAGAAAGGAAGGAGAGAAGAAAGAAATAAAAAGAACAATAGAACAGAACAACAACAACAAAAACTAGAAACAATGTTCACACTCATGAAAAAGCAAGAACAATCAAGGAAAAAGAAAAGAAAAAAAAACCACAAAAGAAGAAAAGAAGAAAAAAAAATGTCCAGTTCAAGGCCTGTCTCTGCTGTCACTGGCAGACAGAGTGGGCAGATAGAGCCCAGATCCATGTTGATTAATCCCAGCAAGCCTGTTGTAGATTTACAGCAGGATAGTGGATAATCCCAGCAAGCCTATACCTTTAGTTCCACTGAAATTCAGGCTGATTTCTGGCTTTGAGCCTGGAACCTGATTCGTTCAGCCTGCAACACTCTGTGTGCCTTCTGCTGGCTTGAAATTGGCTCCCTGCCAGCTTGAACTCAGTTCCACCTCACTCTGACACTGGGAGCTACTATATGGAGCCAAACTGAAGCTGCTCTGAGTTCCGACCTCAGTTGTCCCCTGTCCACAATGGAGACCCACCAATCACCCTCTCCTGGGAGATGCCTGAACCCAAATAACTCACCAGTCACTGCAGTCCCCTGCATCTACTGGTCTGTTCCCCTGGTACATTTCTCCATGTAGGCCTCTGGGGTTGCCAGTAGTCATTGTAGATCTGGAGGTTTGAGTGGTCCCTCCCATGCAGTGAGTCAGGGCTCAGGGAGAAAGCATAGCTTGCCACCTCCTTTTTATGCATTCAAGTCTCTCTCTTTGCTCTCTCTGTGGGCTTCAATTCTTGCTTCAGATCCTTGCTGGGTCCCGGGGACCTACTTCCCTCCTTCTTCTCTTCCTCTTGCTGTTGTAGTCCAGCATCTGGACTCAGAGAGGCTATTTCTCTGTTCTTCACTCTGCCATCTTCCTGGAAGTCCTCTATTTCTTATTTAAAATTTTGAATCCACCTGGAGTTTTGTGTGTGGAGAGAGGAAGACACCAAGTCCTCTGTTCCACAAATGGAGTTTGGAAAAAGGGCAGACTTACCCCCATTGCCTTTGTCCTGTGCTAAATCACTTTTGATCTATTTTGTTCAGTTAATCTTTTCATTGTTTCCTTTATCATTATTGAATTGTTTTAATCATTACAAACTTAAGGTTGATTTGTCATAGGACAAATTTCTCTGAAAAATTTCTCTTTATCTTACTTCACTTCTTTCCCCTGCCATGCACTCTTATTTTGCCTAGACTGAGAATGAGCTTAAGTCCCTAAAATTCCTTATGATTTTTATAGAAATAGCATCAAACGTACACGTGTTAGTTTCTCCTCCTAGAAAGTTATGTCCCCCAATTATTCAGTTCAGCTCTCCATCTTTAATAACATTTCATAGATTTTCTTAAAATAAAGAAGTTATTTATTATTAAACTTACTTTATTACTTTTAGAATTCCATAGCTGCTGTGATTGGAATCTATCTTCCTTGATATATATTTAATTATGCTTTAAAATATTTCAAAAAGTTTCACAATACATACATACTCATCATCAGATTTAGCAAATGTTAACATTTTTGTAATTTTTTTGCCTTGGATTCCAATTTTTTAAAGAAAAAAAAGTGTTGTTTTTTGCTGCAGTAATCAAGATAGTGGCAAAAGGAAAGACAAACTGACCCATAGAACAGAACTGAGTGTCCTCACACAGGCTGGACACGGTGGCTGGCACCTGTGGGCCAGAGAGCCAGAGGATGCACAGGGAGAGGATTCTGGGGTAACGGAGCCAGCTCGCCTGAGGTGCAGGCCCTGCTGCAGTGCTGCACAGTGGGGCTGGAGAAGCAGGAGAACATCCTCACAGCCATGGCCAGGCCAAGACTGATTGGGACAAAAAAGCACCAACTGTGAAAGGAAAAACTGGACTTAAACAAAAACTTGTTCATCCAAAAGCCATCAAGAGTATAAGTAAGTAAACCACAAACTGGTAGAAAATATTCACAGCATATATGATTGACAAGTAAATTTTACCTAGAAACTGTGTAGCTACTTGCAAGTTAATTACAAACATTTGCAACTCAGTAACACCGAGACAAGTATACAGTCTTTTTTTAATGGGCAAGAACTGGAACAGACACAACAAGGTGCACAAATGGACAATGAGCACATGAAAAACCTCTTAGGGTCCTTATGCAGCAAGGAAATGCCCTTCCAGAACAGCTAAAATATAGCAAACTGAAGAGACCAGATGTTGGGGAAAATACAGAGCAGCCAGAACCTCTTGATGGGCGTGGAAAATGCTGCCAACACTTTGGACAACAGTTCCACAAGGTCTTAAACACCAACCACATGTCCGTTACATTGTTGGGTGAGGACCCAGCCACTCCCTCCCATTTGTTCAGGAGAAATCCTAGTGCCCGAAGCTGAGCCATGATTCACCACAGCCAGACTAGAGGCAGCCCCAAAGCTCAATAGATCCGCTCAACACCTCCTGGAAAGTCGTGAACCTATCACACTTGGCAGAAAACAGCAACAAGCCAGGGGTGTAACCCACGTGTGGTGGCCCTCGAGGAGCAGGCTGAGCAGGTGACTCTAGGGCCCAGAGGTGCACACCATGTGGTCCAGCTCACAGGACAGTCCAGAGCAGGCAAGAAAATCTCAGTGACAGAAGCCAGATCAGCAGTCACCTCTGGCCAGAGACGCGCTGAGAGGGACAGCAGGAGCTCTGTGTCCTCTGCTCAGAACCTGCCAGAGCGGGTGACATACACCTCTAAGCTTCTCACTGCCTGTGCACGGAAACCAACCCCAAAAGCATTCCACTGCTGCCACTGAAGCCTTTCCTCTAGTGTCCCCAGTCGCCTCTCCCCTCCCTCTCCGGACGTGACACCACGGGTGATGAAATTCACATCTTCATGCTTTCCTGTGTGTGTTGGACCCACAAACGTCAAGCAGACGTGTCTGTGCAGTGCAGCCATGTGCCGGGCCCCTGGCTGCTCGCACTTTCTGCCTGCACCCTGCTGGGATCCCCGGCTCTGCCTGCGCGGTCCGAAGTCCGTGCGTCCAGTCTGCAGGCTGGCGGGCGGGCAGCTGGTGGCTTCCGGTTGGGGACTCTGAACCACACTGCCATGGGCATCCCTGAGCGTGCCTGCCCTGGGCTGTGCCACCTGAGCAGACGCTGGGCTCACGGATGCGGAGGCCACAAGGGCCCGCCTCACTGCGCTTCCAGTCTTGGTTTGGGTTGTGCATCTTCTCCTGGTCTCCGCACCTCTGAGTCACCTGGCTTCCTCTCCTGCCATTTCACCTTCTTGTTGCCCTCGCCCCTGAGCTTTCTCAGGTTATGGCCGGTACTTTTTCTGTCAGAGCTGGTATTTGATCACCTTATTGATATTTCTCATTTGTTCTCTTATATATTTCCTAAGCAGTAAAAGTATTTCCCCTGGAAATAGTGATTATGTTTCTTTCTTTCTGATACTCAGAGCTGGCACGCTTTTCTCCCTTTGCACCGAGTGGGAGTGCCATGAAAATATGCCACAATAGCACCAAAGCAAGTTTTAACTTACTTGGAAATACACTGAGTTATTCATCCCAGTATTCATTCATTCCTCAAGTGTCCCTTGCCCTGTATGTTTTATGCCAGGCGCTTCATTTTTTAAACTGATACACCGTGGCTGCGTGGATTTATGGAGCACAGTGTGCTAAGTTGATGCTTACAAACTGCAATGATCAATCAGGGTAATTACAGCATTTCTGGCTCCTTAAACATTTAACATTTCTTTGTGCTGGGAACCTTTGAGCTCTTCCAGGTCTTCAGAAATGTATAATAAATTATGAGAGCTATGGTCACCCCACTGTGGTGTAGGAAACCAGGTCTTATCTCTCCTGTGTTATGGCTGGGTCTAGATGTCCCCCAAAGCCTTGTGCGGTCCTAAGTGGGGCTTTTTCAGAGGTGGCTGGATCTAGACTGTGTGACGCTGGAATTGATTCATGGTGCAATGCTGGGCTCAAGGGCACTAGGATGAAGGGTGTGAGTGCTGCCTGCCCTAAGCGACCTGGATAAGATATAAGGGATAGAAAAAGCTGTGGTTGCCCCTTGCTTGCTTTGCTATCTTCTGCCTGTCATGGACTGTTTCTCCTCTGAGATGCCCCTCTGCCTTGGAGCCAGTCGATTATGGACTGAAACCTCTACAAACTGTGAGCTAAATAAATCTTCCTCCTTCATCTTCGGGAGTCGGGTAATTTGTCTCAACGCATCCTGCCTTGCTGTACCTTGGTGCCCGCTACTCCGCCTCCTCCCATCCCCTTCAGTGTCTACGAAAGAGTGAGAATGTGTATTTGTCTTTCTGTGCCTGGTTTATTTCACTTAACACAAAGCCCCGGGGCTCCATCACTATTTCTACAAATGATGGGATTTCATTGGTTTTCAGCTGCACAGTACCCCACTGTGTATGTGCACTGTGTTTTCTGAGTCTCTCCATTGATCTGTGGACACCTTGGTTGACTCCACATCTTTTTATCAGGCCCTACCCAGTGCTGGGTACACAACAGCAGCAGACAAGGAAGACATCACGCCTGCTCTGCAGAAGAAGAGAGGGGTAAAGGGCAGAAGCTGAGAACCATACCGGTGCCAGATGAAGCTGAGGGAGAGCATCACGTCTGAGCGTGGTGGCGCCTGTGCCTCATGCTGGATTTTGGCAGCGGCCCCATCTCAGGCAATGCCTAGCTGAAGCGCTTGTACCAGGGTTACGCGTTGAGCTGCATCAGGGTATTTTCAGCATTAATCAGTATGACGTGGCTTCTCCTGCTTTAACACGTCATGTCATAAACTGCACAATATCTTCTGATGTTGAACTTTCCCGGGCGGAGACAGGTAGAGAGTCCCTGCCGTCCCAGGCCTGACTCTCCCAACAACACAGAAGGTGTTGCCTGGTGCTTGCCAGGCAGTGGTACCACTGAGGTACATCCCCAGCCCTGCAATTTAATTTCTGGTACTGGGGATTGAACTCGGGACCCTGGGCTTGCAAGGTAGGCGATGGCACCACTGAGCTAAATCCCTGGCCCTGCAATTTTAGTTTTATTTCTTCTCCTTCTTTTTTTTTTTTAGTTTTAGTTCTTAATTTAACCCAGGAAATTGTTTAATTTTCAAGGTGTTAGAATTTTTTCCTTGGTTCTGCTTTTCTTATTACCTCGGGGTCAGAAAACAATGGGCTCTCCAGTTTCTTCTCTGAATGACTTTGGAATGTTCTGGGGGCTCTGTGCCTAACTCAGACGCTGCCAGTGCTCAGGGGCTCTTGGATCACTGTGTCTGTCAGAGAGGGCTCAGGCCAGAGGCACAGGGCAGCCCCCTAGTGGGGAAGCTGCGGAGGTGGCCAGACTGAGGACCCTGGGGTGGGAGGCCCAGGAGGGATCCCCCGTCCCCAGGGTGCTGGGAGGGAGCTGCTCGCTGCTGGGGTCTGGAGAAGGCGGCTCTGGGGCCAAAGTGCTCACCAAGAGGCTCATTTCCCTGGAAAAGGAGGGAGAGAGGCGTGGGCAGGCATGGGCAGGCGTGGGCACACCCAGGCACCTCGGCGGGCACCTCATAGCACTGAGTCTCCTGCTCCACTGTCTGTCCTGGGTTTCTGTCTGTCTGCAAAACACAGCAAAGGCCTGGGTCAGGCAGTGCCCACGCAGTCACCACCTGCCTGCTGGGCAGGGCACTGCAATCCCCACACACCTCTCTCGTCCCCATTCCCCTGGCCAAGGACAGCATCCAAGCCACGTCACGGGGGTGTCCCCAGCCTGCCTTCACCCTCGCCAGCTCGGGCTGAGCAGGGGAAGAGTCCCACCTCACAAACAGCACCCATGCCAGACAGACGGACAGCCCTTCCTGTTCCCAACCCCTCAACCGCAGGCACAGGAAGCTTGGGCACGGAGGGTCTTTGTGGATGGACAGCGCTGGGGAAACAGGGCAGGGGTTGGGGACAGACTTCAGAGGACCTGTGAACAGCCCCACCCCCGGCCTGGGTCCCTGAGGATCTTCTGGAAGCCGCAGCCCTGCTGACACAGGTGGTACCCTGGGCTCTGGCCCAGCCCGCTCCACCCCACAGCCAGCTGCGATGGCCAGACGCTGAGTCGACAACTGTGCCCAGCAAACTCACCCAGGCCAGGGTGGGGGCTGCCTCCGCCCACCTGAGGGTCCAGCACCACCTCTCTTCTGGAGGCCCCTTCCTGCCTTTGAACTGAAGCGTGTGACATGGGCTCTACCTCCTGGGTGACCCAGTGCAGTGAGGGGCAGGGGCAGGGGCAGGGCTGTGCCACGAGGACAGATGCGGCGGAAAGGCTAGGGGGCTGCAGTGCACACCCAGGATTCCCGAGGACCCTGAGCAGCGGGGCCTCCCAGCACACTCCACTCCTTCCCACGGCTTGGAGCAGGAGGGGTCTCTGCTCTCACTTGGCATTTCTTTCCTTCACACACACACACACACGCACGCACGCACGCACACCCCCCCTAACAAAGGGTCCAAAAGTGGGTGGTGCAAAGTCCGGGGTCAGATTTCCGAGTCTGGGGGTCCCGCCCCGAGGAGGGGCCCCCTTAGTGCTGGGGGCGGCCCAGCCTGGCCACAAGCCATTGTGCACAGGACACGCACAGGCCTGCGAATGCTCAGGGACACCAAGCAGCTGGGGAAAGGGAGTCAGACCACCCAGGCTCCTGAGAGGCGCGCCAAAACGCCACGGAAGCCGGGCTCCAGCAGCCTTGCCTTTCCCCACACCGCAGGACACGATGTCGACCCTGCCCATCGGGCACAATGCTTGGGCAGAAGAGGCCAGGGTGGGGCCGCAGCGGCAGGGAGGCCTGCGGGGAGCTCTGCCGCCAGGGACCAGGCCAGGAGTGTCCCACGGTCAGTCAGCCCTGGGCAGTCTGAGCCAAGGGGGGATGCGACGGACACTGAAGCTTGGGCTCTAAGCGAGGGCCTCCCCACTTTTTCCCATCACGGCCTCAGTTTACCCATCGGCACCACGCAGTTGAATCCCTAGGGGCCTTTCAGCGTGGAATCAGCCAGGCTGTGTACCAACCCAGCCACGACGCAGCCCGAGCCCTGAAAGCGCCAGCGCTTTGTGGCACCCGGGGGTCCCGGTCAAGACCACCTTCCTACCCACGGCCGGCCGGGCAGGCGGCGCAGGCCCTGCCGGCTGCCCCTCCCCCAACAAGATGCGCGGCCCCGCCCTCTGTTGCTACAGCAACTGTGCTCCTGGGCGGTGCGTGGGGAAGAGAATGAAGCCCGGGCAGGGGATGGTCGCCATGGCAACCGGGGGCCTTCCGGGGGAGGGGACCTCAGGGGCGGGGCCTCTGTGGGCGGTGTCTAGGGGCGTGTCCCTGGGCGGGATCGCCGCGGAGCATCCTTCCAAGGAGCAGCCCTGGGGTTCACTTGTCACCCCTTAAAACTCAGCTCTGAGCCAGGGGCGTCACAATTTGTCCCTGGTGTTCTCCAGATTTGGCTTCATTGTTCCCATTTAAAACGTTGTTGATTCCTTGGAATTTTTATCCGCAGTTCTGGAAAAGGCTCGGCCAATATTTCACCAACTCCTGGAATTCCAGGAATCTTTCCCAACAGCTCCGGGCTTCCCCTTCTCCTGCGCGCGCGCCCTGCCTGAGGCTCCGGGGCTCGGCAGGGGCGGGCCTGCCACACTTGTCCCCTGCCCGCCACCCTCTAGTGACTTCCGCTGGGCGCGTGGCACCTGGGCTGTTTCCGTGGGCGAGTTTGGTTTCTGTACTTTGTTTTTAAAAATTATTTTATTGGTACACTTTAGATACACATAATGATCACATTCATCATAGGGAATTGTACATGATAAATTTTGGGTTTTTCCCCCAATCCCCTCCCCTCCCCTCAACGCCTCTTCCCCTCCTTATTTACAGAAACTTTGTTTCCATTTTTTCCTTCCATTCTCTCTCTCTTTCTTTCCCTTCCTTACCCCTGCCCCCTCTCTTTTCCCCTTCCCATTTGGACATTTTCTTTCTCTTTCCCAATATCTGTTATACATTTTGGTCTTTATTTGCCCTTTTAGTTTCTCACACCAGAGAAACAATGTGTGTCGGATGTATTTCACTTAAGAGTATGGTCTCAACCATACTTGGATTTTTGGAGTCTATTTTTCTACGATTTATTTTTATTAGGTTGAACAGTTTGAAATGACCATTTTCACAGGTCAAAATTAGCCGAACATTAACCTAATAGTCTTTCTATGTGTCTTGGTTTTATCTGGAGTCTACAACTCTGATGGATTCCTAAGGCTTTTTCTTGTGTTTAATATAATATTTTTTAGTAGTGTAACTTCAGAATGCTACAAAAAGAAAGTGCAGTCTCACTGTTTTGATCGGCATTCCTTAGCTGTGATGATCTTTCTGCCTGCTGTTGACCTGTTTTCTTTCTGTGAACTGTCTCACTTGTTTTCCTAGGATTTATTTCTGTTTATTTGGTGATTGCTCATGCTTTTGGCAGTGGGTCTGCTCAGCATTTCTATGCTTTAGGAAACCCCTTCATCTCCACATGTGTTGACATCGTTTTCCCGGAGTGGGGCTGGTCTTCTGGCTTGGCCAGTGGCCTTCGAGCCAGGCAGATGTTCACTGTGCATGAAGGCCATCTGTCTTCGCAGCGCTCCGTCTAGTGCCCACCCTGCTCCCGCCACCGTGAGGTATTGCCTTCGTCCACATTTCACTTCTCGTGAGTCAGTGTTTCGTGAGGAATTTTTCTTGATGCCCTGAATCAGATGGGAATTCAGCTTCAATTTTTTTACAGGGTCTGATAGCAGCTATTATATGATCTATTTTGCCAAATCATTTGAAATCACACCTTTATCATAAAATTTGATCCATTTCCACTTCACTACTGGCATCTTTTTAATTATTAGAATTCCTTGATGTCTTTTAATATCTGATTGGCAGATTCCCCCCATACTTTTCCTTTTTAACAGATTTCCTGGTTAGTCTTGCATGTTTGTTTTTCCATGTAAAGTTCTGTTGCTATTTTAATTGTGTGTTGAATGTGTAGATTTAATTTAGAGAAAACTGGATCTTTTACAATATTGCTCCTTTCTTTCTCAAAGCATGCTATCCTTTTCCCCTATTTTACTTCTTTTCAGTAGATCTTCAGTGTTCTATTCCTTCTCTTTTTGAAGAAGAGACTCCACATTTCTCATTGTTTCTGGGCATCGCCCCTTTCCGATTGCCTTGCGAAGTGGCTCCTGCCTCCCAGGCTCTCCCTGGTCATTGTTTCTTTGTGGGCATGGTCACCTTCCCAGTGATAATTTTCCTAACAGCCCTAACTTATTGTTCCCCATAGTTTTCAGGCATCTTTGGGTCTTCTATGTGGATGATCACATTATCTGTAAATAATGATCATTTTGTTTCTTCTTTTCTGATATTTTAAACAGAAAAACAAACCAACTGATTTTCTTTATAATCAGTACTTCTGACACCAAACCTGTGGGGTTTTCCCACACCCACCACTTCCCCAGCTCTCCCAGGGCCACTGGGTTTCCTGCAGCTCCACATGGAACCACATAACCTGGAGCTGGCCAGGGGCCCTCACTGCAGACACCAGCCAAGGAGGGGTCCCAGGCTACCCACACTTCTGTCTGATGTGGCTGCACACTGGGGTGCCATGCTGCCTCCTGGGGTGTGGTAATCTTCTGTGACAGCTCACAGCAATTAAGTACGCGTCTCCGTGGACTGGGGCGGATTAGGGTGCACCACCCTCCCAGCACATGGGTGTCTCCCCAAACCCTCGGGCTCTCCGCACCCTGTGCTCTCAGGATTCTCACGTGGGCTTCATGTCTTACTTCATCACAGCCTGGACTAGGAACCTTAGCGTGGGTGACTGATGAACAGCAGGAATGTGCTGTTCCGGAGCAGAAGCCCAAGATCAGGGAGTCAGGAGATTTATTATCTGGTGAGGCCTGGCCCTTGAGGAAGGCACCTGTGTCCCTAAACCTTGAATCTCTCTGACGGTGCCCATCCAGGAGTCCACCAAGCACTGCTCATTAGGACAAAAGCCACTCCTGTCCCCAGGAAATGCAAGGCATTTAGGAGCTCTGTGTCGGGGCCCAAATGCCATCCAGGAGCCAAATGTCCGAAAAAGAGGTGGTCTTAGCACAGTTGTCACTTGGAAGTTGTGGGGTTTGAGGAGCTTCCTGTCAGGAGCTTTGGGCAGAGGCAAGTGTCTAGTTCTGGTTATGCTGTGTTTTCCTCTTTTCCTAGCAGAGGCTGCGGTGTGCATCCCTCATGTAACGGGTGCTCCGGCTGCTTCTCTGTGGTATGCCCGCCTCAGTGCTCACATAGGTAACTCATCTGCTCCTCCCCATGCTGCTGAGGGTGGTGGGGAGGCCAAGGGACCAGGTAAGGACTTCTAGGCACCCTGGCAGGGGCTGGGCCATCCTGTGCGCCGGCTGCGGGGCACAGTGAGACCCCATGAACTGCTGCTCCCCAAGGGGAGGGACAGCCGTCTCTCAGGGCTCTGTGTTTGCTTCCTAAGTGAGACAGCCTCTCGGTCAAATGTCTTCTACTGAAACCATCCTGTTGCTTTGCATCGTGCTACTTAACTAACGTGGCGGACTGTGTTAGGGCAACCGACCCAGAGCCACTGCCGCATTCCAGCCGGGAGTTGAGCTGTGGGTCACGGTCGTCCCTGTATGTGACTGGACCCTGCCTGGTTGTGTTAGGCTTTTTTTTTTCTGGTATCAGGAATCGAACTCAGGACCTTGTACTTGCCCGGCAGGCCACTGAGCTACATCCCCAGCCCTGGTTGTGCTAAGTTTTGACACTAACGCTGCCATAAAGTTGGTTTTGTATTATGAGGTCTCTCCACCAGGTTTTTTGGTTGTATTTTGCTTGTTTTTTCTGCATTTTGAGACAGGGCTGGCCTGGAACTTGTGGAGATCCTCTCGTCTCAGCCTTCTGAGTGCTGGGATTACAGATGTGGGGCCCACACCCGGCTCTGTACTGGGTTTTGGCATCAGTGTTAGATTCTGACTTCACAAAAAGAATTTCATGTAAGAGAAAATATTTTTTGTCTATGACTTGTACTCTGAGTACCATTTGTTCATTCTTTTGACACCATAGCACACAGTATATTAACCATTGTTATTCTCTAATTATTCTGTAATGGAATTTTGTTTTATTTTTTCATAGAAGAGTGGTTTTTTGTATTTTCTTTATTAATATCTACTAGTATTACATTAAAATAAAAAATTTAAAAAAATATCGGAGGAAACAAAACAAAATAAAAAGAATCCCACAGATATTTTCCATTTTTTCCACTGCCGGTGCTCTGGTTGGACCTGGAGGGGCTCTTGTGGCGTTGTTTCTAACGTGTGAATGAACACGAAGCTTGCTGGGTCCAGCTGGCCGCTCCTCGAAAACTTGTTTCTTCTGTGTTGATGGCCTACTTGGGTCCAGTTTCTGACATTTTTATTTATTCGGAAAATAACTTATGTCTTGTATATGTTCATGTTATCTATGTAGACTATTTTATCACTCCTTTTTTTTTTTGGTACCAGGGATCGCACTTGGGTTTTTGCGCTTGCGCAGCAGATGGCAGAACCACTGAGCTAAGTCCCCGGGCCCTTTATCATTCCTTTTGCCATTGGTTTTCCTTTCGTGAGTTCTAATTTTTCACACCTCTGCTTTCTCCCACATTTCCCTTGAGGAGACCAGTCAGCAGGTTTCTCCTCTGGCCCCCGTCTTTATTTTTTATTTTATTTTATTTTTTTAGAAGAAAGTAACAAAACAAAGAAACCAAACTTTACTTGCGTTTAGCCATTAATGAATAACTCACAGTATGCACAAGCGGTGACACTGTACACGGTCGCAGATACATGGATGCAGTGAGGGGTCCCCACTTTCAAGCAGAATGTGATCAAACACAACCAACATAAAGTGCTTCAACTTTTTACTTCCAACACAGGGATCATCTAAAAAAAAAACCCCAACAATAAAAACCAAAAAAACAGCCCAGCAGGGAGAGGAAGGGATGGTCCGAGTGCTCCCCAGGCCTAGCGTGGTCTCGGTGGAGGAGCAGGACCTCTGGCGGACACAGGGAGATGCAGGTCCCGCAGCCTCCTGGCCAGTGTATGAGAGGTCCCTGGGGATAGCAGAGGGGCTGCTGCAGATGCTGACAAGCTAGGCCAGGCCGGCTGGCCACTGGCCAAGTGACCTGCCGGGGACAGGAGACTTTGGGAGGCCTTGCTGCTCCCTGGGGGCCATTGCAGCAGCAGCATTAGCAGTGGTGGAACTGCGCTGGGCTCTGTGGACCGGAGGGGAGCCAGGGCGCCTGAGGCAGGTGTCCCATTGCCACAAGGCTCCAGGGAAAGGACTAGATGGGGGGATCCTGCCAACAGCTCCTCCCCAGAGCCCAGACACGGATGGGGGGGTGGGGGGGTGGGGTAAGGCTCCCGGACAGCGCAGGGGAGGAGTGAGCAGAGGGCAGGGCAGGCCAGCAGGCCCCGTCCCCTGGGCTCCTGCCCACCCGCTGCATCCCAGGCCCCCTGCCCCTGGGAGAGGGTGGAGAAGTCAAAGGCTCCCTTCTTGGTGTGGACACTTAGAGCCAAGCACTTGGTTTTGGAAGCAGCACCGGGCCCAGGCACGGCCCTCCTCGGACCCCAGGCCAACACGCATGTCCCTCCGACCACAGGGCTCTCGGACAGTGGCAGGCACAGGGCGCTGCCCCCTCAGGTCGTAGGCGGGAGGTGCCAGAAGGCACAGCCTGCTGGCTTCGAGGTGGGGAGCAGCAACCTGTGTGGTGTCTGGTCCTCATCTTTATAAGAGCAATTCTTTAAAGATCCTATTTTCCGTTCTTGACTATTAATTTCTTTTTTATCTTGGCGTATTGATTCCTTCCTCACTTTCTTTTGATTCTCTGGTTCAGTTTCTATCGTTCTGAGTTAAAGATCAAGTGGCTTGCTTATTCCTTCTCAGCTGGCCCTGTGTTTAAAGCTAGAGATTTTCTTCTGAGGACAGCTTTACCCACAGCCCATGGCTTTGCTACATGATGCTGCCGTGTAATTTTCTAGCCAGTGTGCAGTCTCAGTGTTGACTTCTTCATGATTCGGTGAGATCCCCATAATTAGGAAATCCAACTGCAAGCCCCACAGCTTCCCGAGTGGCACCCCTACCCCCATGCCTCCCACTTCCTAGGCAGGGAAGTCTTCTGTCCTCAGAGCCACCTGGGGCTCTTACCCAGCTGCGGTCCCAGCCCACAGACTGCCGGATGCCAGAGGACGCAGTGGGTGAGTGGATGCAGCCTGCCTTTGACTGAGGGCCCAGCAGTTGCCACGTGCACTGGATTCGTGGCCTCACGAGATTGAGGAATGAAGTCGTGAGCCTAAAGGAGGAAATTAGGAGAGTTTTAATTGGCAAGAAGAAGAAGAAGAAGAATAGCTCCTGGATTTTCAGAAGGGGCCCTGAGTGGGTGGCCATCGGGGCTCTTTGTCAAAACTGTTTTATACGGCAAAGTCACAAAGTGAGCCACTGTGAGTCACACCACAATGGACCCATAGGATTACGAGTATCGTCGTTTAGCTAATATTGATCTAACAGGGAAGCGAGGCATATAGCAAGGGTCTATCAGCAAGCACCATTAACTTTACCTTATCTCCGCCTTCTAAGGTACAAAGAGCAAAGGTATTCCTGGAAGGGAATGGGAGCATGGGTCCAGATGCTCTGGTTGTCCACCTGTGCATCTGATGCACTGGCTAGGGTGACTGGACCGGGTGGTGCTAATTACAGTCTAATCTCAAGCCACTGTTTATCTCCAGGGAGGCTGCAGGCCTGGCCAGTGCACCTCCACCTTGAGGCCTGCCTCTCTTGCGATTCACCTCCGGCTGCAATTTTGATTCACTTTTTTTTTTGGTACCGGGGATCCAACTCAGGACTTTGTGCTTGCGAGGCAGGTGGCGGAACCGCTGAGCTAAATCCCCGGCCCTAATGCACACTTCTCCCTAGAGGGCCTGATCCATTTCTGAACGCTTGTTAATTTCTCTTGAACTTAGCTGTGTATAATACAGCAAGCAGGTCCAGGGAGGTCCTGCTTTCCTGGACTACGGTCCCCCCGCCCCGGCCATGCGGGTGGCCCACAGCCTCCACCGTCACGTGAGGCGTCAGTCTGGATCCAGTGGCTGGGGAAGTGTGTGGCATGCCTGGGCTCGGACTGCAGAGGAGGGCTGGGCGCACAGCGATGCCTCCACACACTCGTCCTGCCTCCTGGTTCTGTTTATGTGAGCAAGCGCTCAAAGGTTGGAAAAGGGAGAGGGTGGAGAAGGGGAAGTGTTGAGGAAGAGGAAAGCAGGAGGAATCAAGAGAGGAGAGAAAGAAGAGAGACGGGAAGGGAGGGAGGGAGGAAGGAAAAGAAATGGGCCGGGACCACATCCACCCCTCAGTCCTTGGGCTGGGCAGGCAGGTGCTGCTCTGGTTCCGTGCCCTGCTGTGCTGTCCCAATTTCTTCATTTCCTCTGTTCTGGGAGCCCGCTGGGCCCATGGAGCATGTGCGTACACGGTGTGCCAATCTGCCTGTTCCATGTCCCAGCCCGGGCTGGCATCCCTGGTGCCCTGAGCATGACCCCGTTTGAACCAGGACTCGACTCCAGCTCAGACAGGAGCCTTGGTGTCTCAGGAGCAGGCGTGCTGAGGCCATCTCATCTTCCTCGTCCCACACCCCGGTGTCGGCCAGGCCCTGACAGTGAAACAACACAGGATGGGAAGAGGGCCCAGAACACCGGGCCGGCACCCTCCCGCTGCATCGGGAAGCAGAGAGGAGCGCATGTGGTCAGCGGTGCCAGCGTCGAGAAGTGACCTAAACACAACTGATTTAGTTCTGTGCAGCATTCCCACTGCCCTGGTAGCTCCAAGATACACATGCGTCCAGGAGCTAGGAATGATGACGTGTGGAATCTCCATGTTTCTGCTCTTATCTGTGCATCTACAATGGCACTCTACACTTTAAAAATGAAGGGTAAAACTCATGCTAGCAATGTCAAAATTTTAATTTTTCTTTACTAAGAATGACATCAAATAGCAAATCAGAAACACCCCACACAGCAAGTGCAGAGCAAGAGAGGCCTTGGGACAGAGGGGAGCAGGGTCCTCGAGCCCTGGAGGCCGCTCTGTGTCCTGGACCTGTGCCTTTGTCCTGCCTTGGGCCCCTGAGGACATGGAGAGAGACACGTTCCCAGGGTGAGCGTGAGCAGCCCTCTGAGAAGCGGAGGCTGAGATGGGCTGAGGTGGGGGTTGTGCCTATGATTGACAGGAGGCAGCGCATGGAGACAGATGCTGGAGGAGGCCGGGGTGGATGGTCCCAGGCCAGGGTCCCTTTCCCAGAGGTCCTGGCCAGGCTGTTTCAGGTCCTGATGGCACTGTCCAGCAGAGGAGTTGGCAGTGGGCGGGAAAGGTCAGCACGAGGACCCTGCTGCACCCCACCTTTGACTGGGAGTGGCCAGGAGGAGGTGGCCATGCTTTAATACCAAGGGGGATCCCAAGGGCAGCAGCTGGGGCTGGTGGTCAGTGGGGCTTGCGTTTGGAGCCACAGCCCTACAGCTGCTGTGGCAGGCTTCGTGCAAAGTGAGCCCTGGAAGAGACAGATGGAGGGTTAGAAATGAGCTGTCACCTGGGAGGAAAGGGCAATATCAGCAAAGGGAAGGAAGGGTGAGACAGCACCAAAAAAACAGACTCAAGGGGACAGGAGAGATGCAGCAAATGGTGGAGAGTGAATAGGTAAGCGATGGCCGGGTGAGGCTGCAGAAGGAAGGCCTGAGGTGGGAGGCAAGCAATGGAGCAGGGGAGGCAGCGGCCTGGCCCAATCTGACCCCAAGCCTGCCCACTCAGCACACAGTCTCACCCCCACTTGGTTGTTTGGGGTCCACAGGGGAGTGAGGAGCGTGGCTCTCAGGTGAGCACGCTTCCACAGCACATCGGAGGCGTGACCCAAGGGGACCTGCTGAAGACCAGGACTCACACGGCTGCAGTGAAGCCCCATGCGTGTCCCAAAGAAGGGGTGGGACCCAGGCCGAGGGCCACGGAGAGGATGGCGACAGCCCTGAATCCCGTCCCCGCTGGCCAGAAGGCAGAGTTAGAAGGCATAAGGGGAGGTGCTGGGTGCAAGCTGCAGGGCCACGAGGGAAGGCTCAGGCACGCCCACGTCAGCTCAAGAGGTGCTCTAGCACGCGCCTGGAGATCCTCTAGGCGCCATGTGTCAGGGGACCTGTCTGGGGTGCTGTTGGGAGGTGCCGTGGACCTTCGGAAGGCAGGGCCTGGTGACAGGTCCTTAGGTCACTTAGAAGCCTGCCTGGAAGTGGGCTGCGGGACACAGTGCCTCAGCCTTTCTATTTGCGTCCTGCCTTGTCATGCAGTGGTTTGCTCACATATGCTTGGAAACTGTCCTGCCCACAACAGAGGCGCAAAGCCTGAGGCTACGGGCCTTGCAATGGAACCTCCAGAACTGTGAGCCAAAACAAACCTTTTCTCCGCCTAAGTTATTGCCTTGGATGTTTCTTTAGAATAACACGAAGCTAATGTATCAGGTAGACAAAAAAGAGTCTTAAATTCAAGGCAATTGCTGGAGAATAAAAATAAGCATAGACCAGTAGAAGACAACTCAAATGTTTAGTGAGAAATATGGACAATATTAAGCAGAAGTTTTAAATAAGATGACAAAATAGGTGTCAATAATAAATAGGTGTCAATAATTGCTGTAATTAAAGTAATTCCTCTAAATGTAAGTGGATTAAGTTCCACTTATAGGTAGAAACTATAGACTTAAACATTCCAACAGTGAGTTACTTTAAAAGATACACTTTAAAAAAGATCTAAGAAATTTAATATGAAAAAGTTAGCCAAAGACTTACCAGGCAAATATGAACGACAGGAAACGAGGCCGACATCTTAATATACAACACTCAAATCTAAAGCAAAAAGAAATTGTTTCACATCCCAAAACAATAGACAAAGAAGGACACACATGCCTATTGATGAAAGGAGCCACAGAATGGCACTGTACATCCATCAAACCCACTTAAACGTCTAAGAGATTGGCCTCGATACATACCCAGCAACATCTGCAGGGCCGAGGGGAGAAGTACAATCCTCCAATTGTAACTGGAGATCGTGTGAGTGTGCGTGTGAGTGTGTGTGTGGTGCTGGGGATCACATCAGGGTTTGTGCATGCTAGAAAAGCTCTAAATCTGAGCTACATCTTTAGCTTATAATTCAGGGGTTTTTTTTTGGTATCGGGGATTGAACTTGGGACCTTGCGCTTTTGAGGCAGGCGCTGGAACCACTGAGCTAAATGCCCTGCCCCCAGGTTTTCATTAAAATAAAATTAACAGCTCAAGCTGACAAAACTTAGCAAAGATCCTCAACCCTTGATCAATATAATTAGTAATCTTGAACTAGTAAATATATACAAAACTGTCCTCACCACACAGCAAAGATACTGTTTGGTGCACAGATAGAGCATTCATAGAGATGAACCCCATATTAGGACCCAAGGAGGCCTTGGGTCCCAGAGCTGCAGCCCCACACAGACACGACTCCCGCTTGTTTGTGCATGTGGTTCCTTTGCCCGTTGTTTGGGAGAGCCCGAGTGCACTGTGCTGCAAGGGAGCTCCTGCTCCAGCTCCCCTTCACATTCAGCTCAGGGGAGGCAGTGGGGTGCTGTCCTCTCCCTTCAGGGCTGTACCTCCTCCCCTGTAGGCTGAAGGCTGCTGGAAGCCGCCAGGCCCTGGGACTCTGACCTCCTGCCCACACCTGTGTTAATGGTCTCTCTGTCAAACACTCAGATTACCCAGTTTGAGTGCCAACTGCCTCCTGCCAGCATCTTGACTGAGTACACTTTGTCTCTGAAAATAATGCCACTAAATTAGAAACCAAAGGTTACAATAAATACTACCGAGAAGTAAATGATGTTACTAAATAACCCATGGGTTTCCAGGGAGATCGTGCAGGACAGTAAGAGGTAGATCTGGGTGATAATGAAAACATTCTAGACAAATCTGTGAGGCCCATTGAAGGCGGTGCTATAGAAGGACTTTTGTAGCTTTAAGAGGTGCCTCCAAAAACTGAAAAATTTAAAGGGAGATAAGCACATAGCTGAAGGCAGAGCCAAAGATCAAATTCAAGGAAGCTAAAGGAAGGAAATAATAGATGAGGACAGAAATACATGAAATAAAAGGAAAGATGAGAAGATTAACAAAACTAAAAATTGGACCTCTGAAAATATTTAAAAGTATACTAAAAATGCAAATAAAATACAGAACAAAAGGAAGTAAGTGCAAAACAATAAACATAAGCATAGGCCAAGCATATCGGTGCACACCTGTAATCTCAGCACTCGGGAGGCTGAGGCAGGAGGATCGCAGTTTGAGGCCAGCCTGTGCTACATAATCAGACCTTGTTTTAAAAAAAGATATAAGCATAAATATGCTAGTAATCAAAAATTTAAATGGCATGGATTCATTCCTAGAAAGACATCAGATATCAGATTACTTACTAGAAAATATCAGTTGCCTTAAGGACTAGAGAACTTGACCAAATTAACAAGTACAAATACTGAGCTGATCGAGTCCCCTCCAGGGTCCCAGCAATTTTACTGGTTCTATGCTGAGAAAGACAGTTGCTTTCCTGTGCGTGCAGGCGGCTCTGGGAAACGGGACCACGTGACGCTGGTTTGGAGGGAGGGGCGGGTGGTCTCAGCCGCAGAGCGGAGGGGGCAGCGGGCTCCTGGGCAGGCGCGGCTCGCGTCCGGTAAGCCGTGCATGGGGTGCAGCCTGGGGCCACGCCGGCACCTGCAGGCGAGGGCGCCCAGGTGAGAGGGGCGGGGCTTCCCTCGGCCAGACGTCACGCGCCCACCGCCGCAGTGCGGGGAAAACCCCGTGGGAAAGGGTGGGGCGGCCAGCGTGGGCCCAGGGCGTGCGTGACTTGAGGGCCCCGGGAGGCTAGACGGGGGGGGGTGATCACCCCGAGAATGGGCCGCGGGTGAGGCAGGGTCGCGTCCTCCCGCCGGGAAGGGGTGCGCGGCGCCGAGACCGGCGGGACCTCAGGCCCAAGCCTTACACCCCGGGCCCCGCGCCGCCGCGCCCGCACGTCCCTTCCCGGGTCAGGACCCCCAGCCGGGTCGTCTGCCCACGAGGCTGTCGTGGTCCCCGGGCGGCAGGTGGCTGCTGTGAGGATGCGGGCCTGGCGGACGTGCGCACGGTCCGGGTGGCCGGGGTCCCCGTCGCCCCGCGCCGAAGCGCGAGCCAGGCTATGACGGCGGGGGGCGCATCCGAGCGGCTCCGGCCCCTCCCGGTGACGTCACGGCCCGCCCGGCCCCGCGGCGGCGCCTGTGCCTCCCCGCGCGACGAACCAGCTGGAGCCGGGGCTCGGGTGCCGCGCGCAGCCAACCAGCGTGCGGGGGGCAGGGGGCGCAGCCGAACCGGGCGGCGCTGTCAGAGCGCCCGCACTAGCGACGGAGCCGCTTGGCCGCGGAGCACGCGGGGCCGCCGAGGAGGTAGGGCCCGCGCCCGCACCGCCGGCCCGCGCGGGGGCGCCCAGGCGGGGGCTCCGCATCCAGCTCGGGCTCGGGTGGCTCCGACCCCGGAGCTCCCTGGAACAATGGGGCGGATTCAGGGCGTCCGCCACGGTGCGGCCCAGGAAAGGCCTCGGGCGCGGGGGTGCGGGGAGGGCGCGCGTCAGGGGTCTGCAGTCAAGATCGGGCGCAGGCAGGAGGGGTGGGGAGATGGGCTCCCGTCGCCTCCCCGAGCCGAGCCCCCGCCCGAGCCTCCCTTGCCTTCCGGAAAGACCGGCTGCGGGGAGTGGGGGGGGAGCGCCGGGGACGCGGCTGGAGTCTGCGCCTCGAGCCCAGGGTGACAGGTGTGGCTCGGCGGCGAGGGCCGGGGTTGCGCGGCCTCGCTGTCTCTGCTGGGACTGGCGGCGACCCGGGAGCCCAGGCTCGGTGACAGGAGGAACGCGGGTGGCCAGCACCCTCGCAGTCCCCCTTGAGGCCTCCTTCAGCCCAGTCACCCCCAAGAACCAGGGCGCCGCCCTCCTGCTCGCCAGGGGCCAGGGGCAGCATCCTCGTGGGGCGAGGGTCGGGCACTGCTGGGCGCCGGGTGGGGCTGGGGTCCGCCGGCCCCGGGGGCGGGAGGGGGAGGGGAAGAGGAGGGAGGCAGGGCCGGAGGGGGAGGAGGAGGGGGAGGGGATGCCAAGTCACGGGCCTGGCGGGCGCGCGCGGGCCTGGCGGGCGCGCGCGAGCCCGACGTCGCTGGCGCGGACCCGATGCGCGCCCCCGTCCCGGTCCCCGGGATCGGAGACTTTCTCCAGGGGCTGGGGACCCCTCCCCAGACTGCCATCCGCCCTGTGGGTGCCGCATTGCTGAGATTAACGGCCTGCAGGAGCATCGGACTGGGTCACAGGGCTGCGGAGGAGGTGCGTGCGCGCAGGGCCCTCGTGGCGTAGGGCTGGTCCCCGCCCAACCCCTGGGACCGCGCAGTCACGCGGAGGAGGGGTCCGCCCGGTGACATCCTGTGCCTAGGAGAGCCAGGGACGGGGCTGGGCTGCACCTGCAGCGGCCATCTTGCAGGTGTGGCTGGTGTGGGGTGGTGGTGGTCGGGTGCAGGCAGGTGTGGAGCGGGTCTCAGGTCGGCATTTGCTCTATGGTGACATTATCTTGGGGAGCCCTGCTTGTGGTGGCTGGGGTAGAGGTCCAGGGCTCCTTGGAGGTGGAGATGCTGAAGGTCAGCCTTCTTCCTCCCAGCTGCAGTGCATCCGAATGAAGGGCAGTCTGTCCTCTTCCTGGGGACCGCAGGGTAGAGGACCTGTGAGATGCCTGCTGTGAGTCCCCGTTCCCCTCGCGCACCTGCAGGACAGCCCCACAGACAGCCCCACTGGGGCCCCCGGGGTGTGTCTCCAGAGACCCTGAGCTGGGCCCTTTGGAGTCAGGCCAAGCCTGGCCACTGGGCAGAGGGGCCTCACAGCCCAGAAGTGCCCCTCCTGTCTCCCATGGTCCTTGATGCTGACCTACAACCACATCATCGTCACAGTCATCAGAAGTGGGGGAGGCGGGGCAGTCCTCCCAGGGGTGCTGGATGGAGGCAGGAGGGAGATGGGGCTGGGGCTGCAGGGCCCCAGGGGGAGGCCTTTGGTGGGGCGGGGATCTCCGCCATGCAGCCCCAGTGCAAGCCTGGTGAGCTAGGCCTGGCAGCAGAGTGGGGCAGGCTCGGTGGAGCTTGGCATCACAAGGCTGGGGTCTGCAGAGGGGATCCCAGCATCCAGAACCACACCCTGCCTTTAGGACTGAGGGGCCCAGATTGGCCAGGTGCATCCGCCTGAGAGCAGGGACAGGTTTGAGTGGCCATCTTGGCAGCATGTGGCTGGCCTGGGCCACTCAGCCGCCAGGGCAGGATGCACATGTGGCCGCTGTGTCCAGGTTCCGGAAGTGCTCCGGGCACTGCTGCATTGAGTGGTCCCAGGCCCAAGGATGAGGCTCACCACGCCATGCAGTGTGTCACCCCCACCCCTGCCCAGGAGCTTCTCTGAGTGCTGGATGAGAGTAGTCCATGCCTGCCCCAAGCTCCTCCACCGGTGGCCTGGGCCCCTGTTCCTGTTTGCCTATTGGCTCAGCCCGAGAGAGGAGGGCTGGGAATACCAGGGCCTTGCACCTGCAGCCTTCAGTGTCACTGCCTGGGGCAGAGGCAGGAAGGGGGTCTCCCCAGCCCCACCTGATGTAGCTGGCTTGGTGCTAATCCCCTGAGCCCACCAGAATCGTGGCCCAAGGCCGGACTGACCCCTCATCTCCCAGGGCCCTGGTCCCCCAGTGCTACGGTAACCAAAGGAAAAAAGCCTGCTGTGTTGCATACGGGCACTGCAGAGGTGGAGGGCACATTAGTGGCGGAGGCTGAACCTCCTGACCTCCCCCTAGGGTCCCCCTCAGCCTCCTCAGCCTGCTCTGCTCTTGTGGGCCCAGCTCTCTGCCTGGGTGGGGGAGAGTGACCCTGACGTAGGCAATGGGGTGGGGTATCCTCAGGAAACCTCCTGCTCCTGGATTCCTCCTGAGCTCAGACCCTATGGTCTGGGCAGAGGCCTCCTGGGTGCAACCCAGGCTCAGATTTCAGGGTCCTGCCCACCTGGGCTTCCCGCCCCACCCCTTCCCCTCTTTGCCCTGGGTGGGGGCTGAGCAGATCCCCCTACATACACACACATACTTGTGCAGACAGCTGCACACATGCACCTCATTTACACACACAACACACACACACACACACGCACACACACACGTGAGGCTGCGTCCCTCCAGCTGGTCCTTGCCCTTCCTTGGGACACTACCCAGCTCCCACATCTGCTTGCTGACTCCTGACCCCTTCAACATTGCCTTTGGCAGGAAGCCTACTGGAAGCCGCCACTGCATGGGGGTCACCCATGCACATGTAGGCGTGGGTGGGGTGGGGTTGGAGGGAAACAGTGGACTGCATCGTGCCCTTGGTGTGCACCCTTCACTGATGCTCCCAGACCCCAGTGACAAAGCTGTGGTGTTGTCATTTTCAGGTAGACTGAGAAGCTGTGTGACTCCTAAAATTGGGTTCTCTCCCCACCACCTCCAACTCCAGATGGCTGCTCTTCTGTCCCCAGCTCATCTGGGACAGCGGTGCCTACATAGTAGGACTCTGTGAACAACTGTCTCAGGGCTGGGCTGGTTTGAATCGGGTGTAGCCGAGGGTGAGCAGCTGCCAGCTGGGGCAGCCTGTGGCCTGGGGGGTCCTGAGGCTGGCTGGGCAGGAGCCTGTCCCTCGGCCTCACATGGGTCCCCTCTGGGGCAGGTGGCCTGCACTCAGTGGGAGGCGGGTGTTGCCCAGGGCGGGGCTCAGGACGCTGCCTACCTGGGCCCTGCCAGGAACCCGCAGGGGCCCCAGCTGCCTCCCCCCCACCCCATTGCCAGCTCAAGCCAGGATGGCGAGGGAGGAGCTGCTCAGCTGCTGAGTGTCACCTGGTCTTCACTGGACACCAGCTTCTGAGGCCAGGGCCACCATGGCTGCTGGTCCAGGATAAGCAGCAGGCCAGGCCTGCCACAACAAGCCACGGCAGCACCCCATAGTCTGGGTCAGCTTTGTGCTCCAGCAGCACTTTCTCGGTGGTGCTTTCTTCTCCCCAGATCTTGGCTGTCCTTTTTAAATGGAATGGGTTTTTGTTTTCACTTTTCCCATATTTGCCCAGCCCTCCTTCCTGAGATCCCTTTCCCGGGAGCTGCCTTCCCCTCTTCCCTGGGTCAGTTGCTCAGTGACTTCTTGCCTTCCTCTCCTGGCAGCCGCTCATCACACCCCTGGACCCCATGGCTCCTTGTTTCTTGGTTTTCTGCCTTGTTTTGCTGGAGCACATCCTTGTGTGCCTTCTCGGAAAACGTTGAGTCCAGAGTGTGTGAGCACAGTGCTCTGCTCTTGCTGAGAAGGGTGTGTCCAGCAGCCCTCCTGTCAGAGGAACCATTTCTTCAGCACTTGAGAGGCCAGATCCTCATCACCTTCTGCACCAGCTGCTTACCTTTTTGGAACCTTCCCTTCTCCTGGGCTCTTCTCTCTGGCGTGGCTGTGCCTCAGTGTGGACCTTTGCTTTCCGTGGTGCTCAGTGGGCCTTCAATGAGAGACAGGTTCTCTGATCTGTTCATCATTCTCTCCCTTCTCATTTTTTCTGGTTTCTTCCTCGAATTCATGGGCTGGGTTTCTGTTGCTGCCTTTTGCATGGACATTCTGTTTTTTTGTCTGGGTTCTGTTCTCTGGACATGTTTGGGCTTCATTTTCTACCTCTGCTTGGAATTCTGGGTTTTGTTTGTTGTTTCTGTCTCTAGCCCTCCGCCGTCCTTGACTCTGACTGCTCCCATTTGAGAATGCAGTGTGGTCTGGAAGCGCTGGCAGTTGTTTTCTCCTTGTGCTGCTGTTGCGGGCCTTGCTTTCCTGTGTGGCCTCTTTTGAGCTGGTTTGTTCTGGCCTTCATTGGAAGCACCTGCTCTTCTCGGCTGTCTGGGGAGCTCAGCTGAAGGGGCGTTGGGCTGAGGCTGTTTTCCCGGAGGGCTTCTAAGGGGGTCAGAGTGTGGGACTAGCGACCCCTACCCCAAGGCTTTCTCTGTATCTGCGGAGAAAGACCCCCTGGCCGCCGGGGCTGCAGGCTGCCCTGCTCTCTGAGGGCGGATGGTGGGACGGGCGAGGGTTCCGTCAGCCCCAGCCCTTGGCCTGGCCGGTTCTGGATCCCTTGAGTGCCCAATCCTGGGACGCTGCCAGGCCGCTGCAGGATGAGGGCCCCTCTGTCTCAGCAGTGCTGCGGCAGCAGAGGTCCGGGGGCCCCTGCGCCCCGCCACGCCCTCCACAGCCGGGGTGAGTGCAGGTGCCTCCCCTTCATTTTGTGCGGTGCCTGGTGGTCATCTGCGGAGAGGACCCTTCTCTCTTGCTGGGGACCTAGAGTTTCGGCCTCCCCTGCACTCGACGTTCTGTGCAAGAAGAACCTGCCGTGGTTTCTGTTTCTGGTTTT